CAGGTTTTCAGCACAAAACCCCGCCAGTTTTTAGAGAACCAAACGCATCCTCACTGTCTGGAAAACTGATTACTATCCATTTTTTGTTAAAATGCCTTTTAGAAAATAAATATTAACCAACTTAAAAGTGAATATTGATTTATTTTATTTATTTGCGACACCTAGCTAAACTACAATTTGTTATAATTTTGGGTTTTTTCAAAGGTAGTCCCTCAAGACTTCCATAATTCCATATTAGCTCCTCAAAGCATTGAAATTGCTATTAATAAGTCTCTCAAATCTTCTAATTGCTCACAAGTTGGTCTTTGTGTTAGAATTACTATGTAACCACGTCAAGGAGGTTCCTCGAGATAGGTGTAAAAGATCCGGAGTGGGGGGTGAGGGGAGGTTAATGAGGCACCACGCTATTGTATGTTTTGGGGTTGGAGGTAAAATAAATTTTTAAAGTTGAGAAGAATTATGTACAAAACCCTGAAGGTGAGGGGGTTTTACTAGAATTAAGGTAATTGAGATGGGTTTTCTAGGACATCTCATAGTTGAGAGGAAAACACTAGAGGCACACCTTGTGCCACACCTTGGGGCACACCCCTCTCTCAGCTACAGTGCATGGGCCCATTTGAGATTTATTAAATCTCAAATGGGCCCCATGCACTGTAGCTGAGAGAGGGGTGTGGCACAAGGCGTGCCTCTAGTGCCACCCTAATTGAGAGGGGTCCTCTAAGACTAACTCCTGATTTTATGGATATATTTATTGGATGAAAAATGACATTCTAAAGAATTGAAAATGTCTAAGAAAATTGATACTTGGGTTCTAAAATTAAACTAGATATACTTAAGCTAGACAAGGTAGGAGAGACAAAAAGAAGAGAACTCGACATTCAAAAGCTGATGGACGACGGTGGCAGCGACGACGCAAACAAGAAGTGGGTTCCCATCAGATCCCTTGGCAACTCCTCTTTCTTCCTTGGGCTCAATCAGTCAATCTCATTATCCACGGCCACCTTCCCCAGATTAAGGACCAACTGCATCTACATCCCTCGGGACGCCGTTTATAGGATGTCCCCCGAGAATGACACGTGCGCTGCCACCCGGGAGGACGACGACGACCTCCGCACCCATTTGATTTATGATCTGAGAGATGAAGGCTTGGACGAGTATTACTCGTCTGAGCCGTTCTATAGTCTATGGATGACGCCTCGTTTGCCATCAAAAAGCACCTGTTAATTTTATTTTCCTTTTTTTTTTGGGTAATAAGCACCAAGGCCTCCAGCAGTATTTATGATTGATTGTTGCAGTAGTGTTTGATGGTAATGAACATTTTCAGGGATATGTAACTTTATTTCTCGTTTTATTTCTCAATTCATTTGTCACTCCCAAGTGGTTATTTGCGAGTTTACTTTTTAATATTTTCTATTTCCCCAAAATAATTCAGTTCCAAGGGTTCCTCGTTTGCA